AATGAAGCTGCAAAAACAGGCTGACTTTGAAAGCATTGTTTATGGTGTTATGAAAAGCAGCATATTTGCATGTATCTGCTCATTCAGCCTACTGCTGTTTAGCCCCTCCCACTCCTCCTGAAGGTATAAAGAGTAATTTAGCCCAGAGTGCTTTTTGAATAAGGCACAATACAGGACAGCCATTCAGAACAGAGCCCATTTACGTATAGCAGTTGAAAAGGTGCCGTAACCAAAACAGCCTGTTTGGCTCTAAGAGACAAAGTGAGGTTTGAAAATTGTCTTGTAAAAATGAATCATGGCTGTTTTTGTATGTAAAACCACACAAAATGTTATAAGTAGAGTTTAGGAGGAAAATAAAAATGTAGAATATGAGTTCTTTATTATGGTAAGTTTTAACTCTGATTAAAATGACTTAAGGAAGGAAATTACTTTATTTAAGGAAGGGTGTTATACATGTACATTATGTACATTTTTGTAAACATTTTTTATATCCCACTGAGAAAATAGAAAATATTTTATGTTAATATAAATAAAAACACAGAAGAATCAACATCAATTTATCGTAAGGGGTAATCCATACCTGAGCATTTGGTTGATTTAGTGATTTATCTTTTTGGTTTACATGTATATGATTTATGACACTGCCAGTTAATCTAGTTAGTGACTGCTTGCTCACCTCGCATTGTACCGAGACCATTTGTCTGATCTGTGTTGCAATTTTTACATTTTAAAATACCAGTTTGGCCCAATAAAGAGCAAGCAGTGTTGTTTTTTAGTCAGTTTTTGGTTTATAAAGAAGAACTGAAAATGTGCTAGTGTGTTTCATGTGTTCATTTTGTCCACACAGTGTGTGAAAATAATAGACTAATAAAAATTGTCCAAAAAATCAGCCATTGGCCGATTTGATTGTAAAAAAATCTGAATCAGCCATAAAAGTTTCTAAATTCCTAAATTATGTCTTGACGTTCTTTGGTTATACTTGCATGGTCATTGAAAAAACTGGAAAAAGTGGAAGACATGATACCACATATATGAATATGAAGCCAAGCAGATGTTAAGTAGCCCTCTGAATCAGGTCCCAGCAGAGGTCAAAGAAATCCAGTTAGGTTCAGAGATTAGACTCACTTTGTTTCTTACTGTATATTCATTCGTCACTTCCCTGTTCGTTTATCATAACTTGTGTGTGTTATTGTTTGTTGGGTGTTGTCCACCAGAGGAAGATGGGTTCCTCTTTTGAGTCTTTGTTCTTTTTAAACTTTCTTCCTCTTGCTATTGAAGAGTTTTCCTTGCCACTGTCACCCTGGCACTATGCTAAATCATAGATCACTAGCGCTTTCGTAATGTTCCAGTGATTTTTAAAAACATTTTCATCCGCTGCACCAAATCTTCTAGGCAGAGCACTGCTCTCACCGTATAGAATCTATAAAACTGAAACTGCAAAATGTGGGTCCAGGTCAGTTGATCTGACAGTGAGCCCTTCCAGAAACTTGCAGCAAGTTTTATAGTGACTCTGCTGTGGCTCTGTCACTGTAGGTGATAAGTTGGCAAGCCTGCCACTTGTCCCACTACAGTCTGAGCCTTCTCTCCTCTAGCAAACATGCTGCTACACATCACTCACAGCTAGCTACTTTTAGCCTGTCAGGTTTGGAATATGGAAGTCATCCAACATGGCTTGATGCCCCAGTCTGGTGACAGTCTGTGAACGGAAAAGATAAACATCATATGTTTTGGGTCATTCCTGAGTATTAACAACATTTTTGAACGGTTTGTGAAAAATATCTGATTTCTTTTTGATTCATCTTTGTCATGTGAATGGACCATAGCTGATGTGTCGCTATGGTTGAGATCATTTTTATGGCTTCCTATCAGAAAATGATGTCAGTAATTATTGTAGTTCTCTTTTTTTTATTAAAAATATCATAGCAAGCCTGCTTTTGAAAGATGAGCAGAGCCTTAACTGTTAGACAGGATGTGGGTTTGACCTGTTAAGATGACTGTTTGTGCCTTTAAACTTGTAAATTTACTACATAATATGCAGTAGTTCCTTTTTCTTGAGTCTTTTTGTTGTCTGAGGGTGTTACCCTTCACTAGCAAAAACTGAGAAAATTTTGCACTTTGTCTTCTCAGCTAGGTTTGTCTGCTTGTCACTGCACACATTGGCTTTCTAGATTCTGTGGTCCCCTTAATTACTGCCTGCTATATGTATGCTAGTGTTTTTACACCTTGAATGTGCTGTGAAGCCTTTCCTTATGTGACATAGAGTTACTTATAACTGGTAGATTGTGTGCTAATGGTTGAACTTTAAAGGTGCACTATGTTGAATTGAAGATTTATGGTGTGAGTCACCATTCAGAGCCTGAAATAATGATTTAAACAGTTGGAAGTGTCCAGTAGGATTTCACGAGAGTTTTCACCTTATATGTCTTTACGTCTAAAGTGGCACCCTGGCTCAAAAAGAAGGTCTGGCTCAATGTTTAGGTCTCACATACAGAATCAACCTTACACTAGCCACGTTTACATGCAGCCTAATAATCCGTTAATAATCCAACTAATAGTTCAGTTGGAACATAATGTGTCCATGTTCACACCTGAGTCGGAATAGACTAGTCCGATTGAGGCCATTCTGAATACAATTTCTGTCCGATTGAATGAGGTGGGTAATGCTGTAAATAATCTGTTAAATAGAAGAATACTAGCCATGTAAACGCCTGTATCCGATTACATTCCCAATCGGAAGGTTTAAGTTTAAGTGTGCGTGTGTGCCGCGTCATAGCAAAAGTTTGTAACGTCCAGCTTATGTGTCTCAGAACATGACATCTTCCTCTTGGCCTTCTTTAATAAGTACATGTGAAGGATGTTTTCCTGAGTCTGACATCATTTTAAAGTAATTAAAAACACAAGCACTGCTCACTGCTGCTCGTCTCACTCTGACTGGACTCACGTGATGCTTGTTTTCATGGTAATGTCTACACTAAGTGGTACTCTATGCATGCGCATAATTTTGGATTGGATTACTTGTAGTGTACATCTAAACAGAGATTTTCGTCAGATTGTTGAGTAGAGTGAGCACATAAACACCTCAGTCCTAATCTATAATCGGAATGTATTCAATCGGAGTGGCAAAAATCTTTGCATGTAAACACAGCCACTGATGAAGGGACGCATCCTTCATCAAGTTTTGAACACTGTTTCAGCGCTCGCAATCATCAGATTCATCTGCTCAGGGAAGGGGTCTTCAACTGACATTACAAAATCTTCTTCTACACATTGTATGCAATTACACATTTCCACCAGAGAGGTCTCCAAATCCCCAAAACTGTAACCTATCGTAGCAAATAATTGTAATAGAACTCCTATCATAATGCATATTGTAGAGATTGTGAAGTGCAAGATCATACTTCAGATGGTCCCACATATGGAAACCTATACAGTGATAAGCATTCTTGTAACACAACACTGCATCGGTAATGCTAAAAGTACCATATGGCTCTTCTGGGTCCTATGGGTACAAGCACATCGTAAATGCATCTAAAAAGGAGAGGTATCTCATTGGACGGTCCAGGAATAGCTTGGCTCTTCTCCTTGCTGGGTAAAGTAAAAGCACAAATATGGACTGATTTATTGGGTGTGCTCAGTGAGAACCCCTCTCAGATCTTCCGCGAGGTCAGTGCTGACGGAGGCCATGTTGAAAGCTGACGCACAAGGACACTTGATATCCATGCATGGTGACCATTTGCATGCCAAGTGCGTGTACATAACCTAATCTATGTTTACCCTGCTCTTTAGGCACATACTGTATGCATACAAGATATGAAAAGGATCAGTGCCTGCTTTTCTAAATAACTTGTTTGATGATGGCAGTGAGTGGGGAAGCGCAGTAAAAGACTAGAAGGAAGTAGACTGGAAAAGACTTATAGAGGTGGGCAATATGGCAAAAATACAACATCGTCATACTTCAGGAAGGTTTCATGAAACACAATATGTCACAATATTTAGTTTAGTTGATAAGTTGTATCAGACGAAAAACAACCAGACGTTTTACATTTAAAAATTACCAATTCTGATACTTGTGCTGATATTTTGACAAAAAAAGGTACATAATGAAGATTTAATTACACCAAATGCTAGACAGCAGTTTCTCCTGAGCAAAGTGTTCATCTGTCTTTTTTGTAACTCTGGATGATGCAACATACAAATGTTTCACACATCTCTGGTGCCAGTGGCTCGTAAATCTTTATGCTGTTTGATTCTGGGCCTTGACACACAGACACAACAACTCTCAGTCTTGTGTTCTGTGGATATTGTAACCTCCTTTCCATTTCCTTCACTTATTCTTTGTAAAACCACTGGAACGTCTAAGCCAAATTGTAAAATATCATTATAATAGAAGAGATATTCTAAAATAAATGTTCTAAAATATTCTAAACTACTGTAAAATACTTTTAGTGGTTCTGCATAACTCAGTCGCTGAGATGTAAACAAAGTCATTCAGAAGGTTTTCTAGGATGGCACATTTTATATCAGACTACTTTGAAAGGTAAGCTTTGTACTTTAATTATATTAATAAAGTTATATAAAAACATGAATAGCAAAAAATAACTGATAAACAAAACACCATTAATAAAAGTATTTGCCTTGACATGAAAGACTGAGTGGACCAAAGAAATCTCAAAATTTTACAGAATAAAATCAGTCTGCCTGAGATGTGATCACAGTTCCCAGTGGACACCAACAGCGTCTGAGTGATAGAAAACCTGTTCACATTAGTTGAACTACTAAAACATTATGCTGAAACTTTTTTAATGATTGAGGACAAAAGATCTAAGACTTAAAATGTAGGTCTGGCTGAACAATGTCATTAGGTAAAGTGAAGGATCCCTATCAAGGCACCATAATGTGCAGTTTGCTGGGTCACTGGTTTATTGTATTTACTAATTCTGTCTGCTTCAGAGCATTTGCATTAATGAAAGTGTGCATTTGTATTGATTCTGTGTCTGTAGGGAGGCAACAACGCAGGACACACCGTCGTAGTCGACTCTGTAGAGTATGACTTTCACCTTCTACCGAGTGGCATTATCAACGCCAACGTCACTGCCTTTATTGGTGAGTATTTAAACTTCATTATAAAATTTCTTATCATCTGTTTCTGTAGTTCTATTCAGACATGATTAGTTTTACACTGGCAGTGTCTTTGAGGTTTTATCCAAATCCATCATGTGATTTTTACAAACTGCACATTCCCCCATCTATGAAGATTACAGTGACTCACTAAATTGCTGCTGTCAGAACAAAACCGTGTATCTCCATTTTTGTCATTTTGTACTTTTTTACACAGTTTGAAAATGCCAGCTGACCTTTACAATGTTCCAAAATTTCTTGATGAATGGACCCACAGAAATGCTCCAAAAGCACCCTGGAAAAAAAATCTCGTTCCATTAACTTCAATCCAAAATTGGGAACATTTTTCCTTCTCCTGTTAAGTTAACACTTTTGAGATACGAGGTTTTGTTCCGACAGCAGCGAAATCTTGGATCTGTAGAAATAACTAGGGCTGCAACAAATTATTGATAAAATTTGATAATGAAAGTATTCAAAAACAGAAGTTCATTCAAATAACCAATACATTTAACCTTTTGTAAAAGCGTTTTTCGCACTGTTCCAGATTGCTAGCTTGCTGCTCTGCACTGCATTTATTTGCGAGAATAAATGACACTAAACTGGTTAGCGAGCTGTCTGGGCGATTAGTTTTTAATCCCACACGGTTGACCACTGACACATTTAAACAGATTCAGCAACCTGGTCAGGGTTGCCAGATTGGGCAGGATCACCCAGACAAGCATTTTATTGTGTCAGTGATTTTTTTTTCCCATTATCTTGTTGTATTTCAAGTTTCATTTAAAGCATATATAAAGGCATACTAAATTAATAGACTTCAGCAATCATACAATAAGCGAATAAACGATAATGAATAATAATACTTGTAGTAATAATAATAATAAATAGCACTAAGACAAATTCAGCCATTAAAGTGAAACATATTTTCTGTGAAAACATGTATTTTAAAACATATATTCAGATTTTTTGAGTATTTGAGATCTAGGAAAGAGAAAATGAAAATATTCGATAGTTGCAGCCCTAATTATATCCTCAAGTTATATCAGTCCATTGTGAATTGTAGATAAGTATTCATATCCTGTGTCAATACTTTTTAATGTGTTTTTTGTTTTTTAATTATGTAGGCACTCTGGGAAGCATTTACCGGTGCCTCGTACAGTGAGGCTGAACATTAAAACCTGTGGTAGCCTACTGCAGAAAAAATATTGCTTGTAGTTGTGTTTCATAGTTGCCTGTAAACTCCCTAGATAATGACAATGTTGATGACAGTGTTAATGACATTGTATTCACTAATGACTGCTTGCTAGATGGTTAGGATATGAGAAAATGATGATAAACGTTAAGGCGTGTTTTCTCCTTGTGAGCAGCAGAGCAATTACACATATTACATAACACCTTGGTGGGGCCAAGAAGAAGACATTCCACCCACTGCAATTTATACAGAGATCTCTTATCCCATCCGAATAGTACTTGCGACTAAATGTAGTTTTGTAAAGTCTGTGTCTGTGTTCCCCACACAGTAGTTTAGTACTGTGCCTTAAAACATGGTAATGGCCAGATCAAAGCCAGCCTCTCAGACTAACCCAGCACGCCATGAGATTTATCTGCAGGCACCTTATTTAGCTAATGGCTCTCCGAAACATGCATCAGCAAGTGTTGTATCTGGGAAGAAGTAATAACGTGATGGACTGTAAACTACTTTCCTTTTTATAGCCATGCATTTTTATCACACTGATGCATAAGAAAAGTTTATGTTGAATCCAGAAAGTGCTTGGCAGCTCTAATTTGAGCAGAAGGCCCATGAGGGAGTACAGATGTAAACAAATTCTGCAGAAATCCTGCTCAGTCAAAACCCCCTTATAAACAACCATTATGGTGGTGATATTCATTGAACACAGGTCTGTGTAGTACAGATTTTCTTCTGGGGAGGTTAAAGTGTGTGTTAGGGCTGCACGATATGGACAACATGCTAGTATTGTGGTGATATTATTGCAATATGAATTAATTAGGGAGGCACTGATGTCTGATTGCTTGTTTTGTTCATATCCACTGATGCCAATACATAAACATTTCTAAAATGTAGAACCTGGGACTAGATCCCCTGTATTACCATTACTGAGTTACAAATTCAGTAAAGTGAATAAAATTTTGGTGGCCCAGTATCACCTAAACATTCTGCTCTTCTGGAGTACAATAAATATATCATTAACCATCAGTTTTAAATATCAGTCAAATCTAAACATCTGTCTGAAGCCAGTATATCGCTGCTGTCAGAACAAAACCTTGTATCTCCATTTTTTGTCATTTTTCAGTTTTTGGCATAATTTGAAAAAGCCTGTTGCCCTTTATATTGTCTGTGGGTTTCATGATGAATTGGCCAAAAGTAAAGCCCCAAAATTACTTGGAAAAAAAGTCTGGTTCCGTTGACTCACACTAAAAATAAAGTATGTTTTTGCTTCTCCTGTAAAGTTAGCATTTTGGAGAAACAAGGTTTTGTTCCAACAGCGGCAATATAATTATTTATTTATTTATTTATTTTTTAAGCAATTATTAGTCTCACAAGGCCTGACGTGATGTTGTAATGAGAATGTCTGGGGACAACCATGGGAAATTTTGGGCTGAAGGTTTGTGGGAATGTAGACTTATGAGGGTGGAAACAAACTGAAAGTGAAATTTCTAAACCAGTCCAACACCTCAAAGTAGAGCTTAAGAAGGGTGCGGTGTGCGCTCATCAACATTGTTCAACAGACAGCAAGGATTGTATTCTCATAGCAAGATCATGACTAACTCAATTATCTGCTAATAGTGATATTACACTGATATTACATTGCACAGAAATAAAGGTGCTGTGCAGGTACATTTTTTGTTTATCAGGGCATAAACAATGTAAATGTTCCCTCAAAGGTACAGCAGTGGTTTTACGATCCTAACCTAAGGTTTTAAAACAGACCAAAAGAAGAGCCTGAAGATGAGACAGGATATGTGGAGTCAATATAACTTATTGCTTACTTAGAAAATATAATTTCGATGGATTATGGTACAATTATGTTCCCTGACTAAAGGTACAGAGATGTACCCTTGAAAGTACCACCCCAGTGACAGTTTCATACTCTTTCTGAGAGTGTATTATGATATCATTGTGCATCCCTAGTATTAAATAATTAATTTTGCAGGATTACATGAATACTTTGTTTCATCAAAACATTCCCAGAAACAGTCATCTGGAGCTGTGATTGGTGAAGGTGCTAACAGCACACAGCACAGTAAAAATGATATGACTGGTTCAAAGGCACAATTGCATTTAGAAGCCTTCTGCAATATAAATATAGCCTAAGATTATATTGTGATAATAATGAACAGTTGATATATGATGATGCTTTGGCAATACTGTAAATGAATATGGTCATGCCAATAAAGCTTATTGAATTGAATTGAATTGTATTGAATTGGTATATTGTGCAGCTGTAACAGACCTCTGAAGCTGTGTCCTTATTCTGATGCACTCACACAGTTTCTTGTTGTCTCTTACTACAGGTAATGGCGTGGTCATTCACCTCCCTGGCCTCTTTGAGGAGGCCGAGAAGAATTTGCGGAAGGGAAAAGGTACGTGTGAGTAGTTACTTAACAGAAACATACTAAGCCTGTTTTCTGCTCTAAGGCATATCTGTGTGCCCAGGCGTGTGTCTAAGAAAAGTATTACTGTACATTCCAGGATTGGAGGGCTGGGAGAACAGGCTCGTCATCTCTGACCGTGCCCATATTGGTATGCTTTTTTTTGCTTTGTTTCCAAACAGAAGGCATAACACAGACACTGTTCTGCTTTAGATCTGCTATGTGACACTCCTAAGCCAGTCAACCCAGCATATCTGCAGGAAACAAGATGCCCCAAACACTCTGCTTCTCTTTGTCACTTGTGGCCAGAGAGTGTTTGAGAAAGTGTCTCTCAGTAGAATGCAAATTATCAAGGAGCCTTTATTGCTGTGTCATATTTCTTTGCTCTCAATTAATTCCTGTAGTTTTAAATTAGTGATGCTGAACAATTAAAAAAATAATGTGTCACACAACTCATCTTTAATTTTGCACTGAAAACCTCTTTTATGCTATTTTCTCCACATAAGCAGAATAGCTTTGCTGTCACTGTGGGTACAATATATGAATATTGTTGCTGTTATATCAAAACTCAAAATTCATCACTTGATAATGCCAGCTGTCCTTTACATTGTGTGAATATTTCATGAAGAATTTACAAATAGAGGTGATCCTAATTTGCTCGTCAAAATCTTGTTACATTAGCTAACGTTCAAAGCAAAAGAATGTTTTTCTTCCCTCGTGTGTGTAGTTACCATTTTTGAAGATATGATTACAATACATACAGTATTGTTCGAGTTCAGAATTCAGAGATTACGCTTCATTTGACTTAGTTTCCCATCAAAATGTGCATCAACTACAAGTTATTCATTTTTGAGAAGACCTTTTTGAGGAGATTAGGTATAAGATAAATCACGTTTAAGGAAGACAATCATTGAAAATTTTTGGGAGAACTTGGGAAGCAGCGAGAAGCCTGAACTTTGGAAGTGTGTGAAAATATCCCTTCAGATTTCTTTGAAAAACTGAAAGCAAGTCTCCTGGATTGAATAGAAGTTGTAATAAAAGTAAAGGATGGACACACTTAGTACAGACATTGTTGATATTGTATTCAGTTGTAGAGGCTTCTGTGTAATTTTCTGTTACTTTTTTTCTGATTCTACAAATTTGGAATAATTTGGCTATTAACTGGAAATTAAATAGTTGAAGGGTGGTCTCTGACTTTTGCACATTATTGTATCTACATTTTCAAGTTTCAGTATTTAAACTGTTGACTTTGTTGGTCTGTATTTGAATGGTTTAGAATCCTTTGCCATAGTTAAGAGGTTAGTGTAATGAATGGCACAGTGGAATGAAGTGATCAGCTAAAGCCAAGCCAAACGGTGTTGTAGTAGTTGTTATGGTAACCTCTGTGAGCATGTTGTGTTTAGACTGCAGAGATTTCAGCACAGTACAGCCCAGTGTTACAGTCAACTACTCTCTGTCTGCAGTGTTTGATTTCCATCAAGCCGTGGACCGAGTTCAAGAGCAGGAGAGACAGCAGCAAGCTGGAAAAAAGTAAACACTCTGTTTCTTACGAACACACAATGAGGTCTCAGAACTTAAAAAAAAGTCTTTATTTGTCTAAAATTTCAGTTTTCAAATTAAAGACCTTAATAAGTTTAAAATCAGTTAAAAAAAATAAAGATTTTAGGTGCCTTTTTTTTTTAATTCAGATATTTTGTCTTTTAGCTCCTTTAGCTCTGTATTACATGACTACCCAGTGGATGAATTACCTACTAGTAGAAATTGACTCTGCTTTTATGAAAAGTGCAGCTGATCAGTGACAATTTGAGATTTTGTATTTGACTTGTGCTGAGTGTTAACCTTGCCTCTTATTCTCTTCCAGCTTAGGAACAACGAAAAAGGGCATTGGCCCAGTGTACTCAGCTAAGGCTGCCAGGAGCGGCCTTAGAATATGTGACCTTCTGTCTGACTTTCAGGAGTTCTCAGAAAGGTGAGGGTGTGCCTGGACTGAATGCTATATAACACATTTATACTCCTGTTCAAAAACACCACATACCTGTAGATATTAATCTAGTGGAAAAACTGGATCAAAACTGAAGTACAGAGAATACCAGGCATAGCTTAAAGCAGCAGGCTGTAAGGCTGTAGGCATTTTTCATGTTTTTTATAACATATACAGTACTGTACAAAAGTCAGAGACCCCCCCTTCAACTATTTAATATATATAATTACACAGAAATGCCAACAACTAAACATAATATCCACTCTTTGCCGTAAGTACAGCTTTCGTTCTTTTCAGGAGACTTGATTTACAGAGATATTTTTCCACACCAACAAAGTTCAGTCTTAGACGTTGGCTGCATTGTCTGCTTTTCACGGTCCAAGTAATCCCAAACACATTAAATGACGTTGGGGTCTGGACTCTGGGGTGGTCGGTCCATTGTTCTAAGAACACTGCAGCTTCTTTGTTCAATTTTCAAGTTTTCCTGTTTTTTGTCAAAGAAGATAATCAGTACTGAATCTTTTAAGAAATTTTTGAACCCCAGTTTGGAAACTAGTATTTTTCACATATTTTCCTTTGGCTTTCCTCTTTCCTGTGTCTAATCTTCTCAAAAATATCACTTTAAACATGAATAACTTTAATGAAAATGAATACTTTAATAAATAGAAAATTTAATAAATAAAGGATCGACTCTTGACTTTTACAGTAATGTATAGTATACCATAATATACTTGGATATCCACTACTTAACGTACGTCTGCACTCCTTTCCTCTTTTCTAGTCACTCCATCATTTCAGATTGTCATTCAAATGTTTGGTTTAACCGTGTTAGCACTAACAAAATTGAAATGTAGCTTGTAGCTAACCGTGTCAAGCTAACAACATGGTCTGGTATCTATGATGTGTTTATTGTTTATTTCTGAAGTCTTTGCTGCTGTCCTTTACAGATATAAAAACCTAGCCCTGCAGTACAAGTCTATGTACCCGTCTTTGGAGATAGATATTGATGGGGAGCTGATGAAGCTCGAGGTGAGTTACCTAATTTAACTTTTCTTCCAGGGATCTCAGCTGAGCTCAGTCTTGAGTCTGAGAGTGAGGTTTCTCTCTGGCATTTTTCAGATCCTAACTATCGTTTAAAGCGTTATGACATTGGACTGCCTGTGTAACACTGAGTATATCAGGGCTGCAACCACACAAAAACACATTCTCGTGCAGTTTGAAGAAGTTAAACTGTATAGTGCGAAAGAGGCGCATCACTTTCACACTTTGCTCTCTCTGAATTTTCAAGGGACATTACTCGTTCTCTTCAGAGAACGGAGTAAAGTGGTACTTGAATGTTGGTGTGTGCTTGGTAAATTGCGTGTATCCCGGGTAACACATACCATAACACCTAATACTTGTCCCAGCCTGTTGTGACGCAAGTGCTAAAGAGAAATTTCTCAGTCGTTATGAAGGCTGTGTGTGGTTACTAAAACTTTATTTTAAATGTAATGTATTTATAACAGAATTTAAACAGACTATAGCAGTATATACATTTATAGATGTGATATCAGGAAGGCTGTCTCAGCTGAATTTTCATGTATGAACGTCTTCCTGGCACTCTCTTGCGTTCACACACTGTCCTGCAAAACATAAAGATCTCATTTGCAGTCTGGAGGGCTCCTTGGCTCTCAAGGGTCGAGAGTGGGATTGCACTATAAATGTACAGAATGTGAAATGAAAGAAAATATTTGATCCCAAAAGATAGTCATAACAAAAATAATGATAATGCTTTATTTGAAGGCAGCCTACATATTTATAAAGCAAAAGTTGAATATTTGTAAACAGCCTATGCCAGTACTCACAGGATGACATCAGATGTTTTGTGAAATAAATTACACTGTATTGATATAAGGGGCCTTAAACTAAAGGGACCGACATTTTGTTCTATTCATAACACTGTTAGGAAGCATCACCAACTAATGGAACTTATAAGGCAGAAGCTTAATTAGGAGCACCACATATCGTTATATATATTTCTACTTAAATTAAAGTACAGTTTCTATTAAGAACACCTGTGTGAATAATATCAAATAATATAAAAGAACATAATACATATAAGAATTCAAATTACTTTTACTATTTTACTTTAACATTATACTTTTATAATGTAGTATAAATATAGACAAGCACATTTCGCTCAAGTATAGGATTTGCCCATGAAGTCTTACATAGAACTGATGTACTACACTCTTAACTAGGCCTCTGCTTTCCATTAATTGGTGATGATGCTTGAAAACAGAGTTATAGATAGAACAAATGTCTGTCACTTTAGTTTGAGGCCCCTTATGTCACTACAGTGTCATAACTTCATGAAAATTATTGTTTCCTGGCAAAAGCTGTTTATAAATGTTGAAGTATTGCTTTATAAATACATTATTCGATGCTTTTATATGTGTTAAGAAGTCCCTTTGTGGGTAGCTCTGAAATAAAGCTGAATGCATCATTATAACCGTTATATATTATGTAAATGTGGAAAGATAAAATTTTAGTCAATTTCAAATAACAGCACAGGAGACAAAAGAATAAAAAAGGGCCTCAGAAGGCCAAATTTCCATTCTGTTGATAATGTGTAAGTGTGCTCCGAGTTGTCTGAGAGTAGTATGTTTCTGTCAGGCATACGTGGACAGAATAAAGCCTATGGTGAGAGATGGGGTGTTCTTCATGTATGAGGCTCTGCATGGGCCTCCTAAAAAGATTCTGGTGGAAGGTGCCAATGCTGCCCTGCTGGACATTGACTTTGGTGAGTCACCTAGACTGATACTACAGCTAAACTCGTAGCAGTATGTGAAAGACAAGTACAGTGCTTTCCATTCCTGACGAAGTGCCAATGTAAAAACATACAGTATACTAACCAACTGATGCCCTTTTGAAAGCTGCTTGCTGGGAAGCCACTCCGCTTTAGCTGGTGAGTTCATCAGAGACCAAAGTTTAGATGTGGGTGATGCACCTAGAAATTCAAACATGCGCACACACACACACCCACCTTCCACCCAGTGGAACTCGCTCGTGCTGTCACTGCGCATGTTTGTCTTGAACACTGGTCACCTCCACTACACTTGTCCTTTGCTATTTGTTAAAATGTATGTTTAACCATGACACAGACTGCTATGTTGTGAATGGGTTCACAGTTTTCAAATGAATGTTAAAGGGCTCAGGCATTGTAATTGATCTAGCGTGGCCAGAGTTGCTAGGTAAGTTTAACTTGGCAAAGTATGTTAATTTGAAAGTCTTTGATTTCCTAGATCTGAATAGTAAAACTACTTATCCTTTACAAAAGGGCCGTGTGTTTGACCAGATTCTGAGTAAAACACAGTCAAAACCGTTAATCTTGGGGCTGCACATGCCTGTCTAGAAAAAAAGACATTATTAAAGCTTTTGGATTGAGTCTTGAGTAATATTCCCTCTCTGGTTGCTGTATTAGGTACAGCAGCTTTGTATCCACACTCATTTTCCATTTTATTAAGTTCATTTACATGTCAGTGTCACTGCAGTGCTGAGAATGATGCACCAACCAAATAATACTTGTGTAGTGTTGGTCCTGTCAGGTTTCTGACCGTTACTGAACAGGTTACAAAGAAGCGAACTAATTGGCCGTTTGTAAGAAAAAAAAATAATAATAATAATAATTTGAACACATTTGAAAACGTTTTAATATTCAAAAATGAACTAGCTTTACAAGTTCACTGCAGATATGTATGTTTGAGAAGGGACAGTGTGAATGCATATTTAAATGAAAAATGGAATGGATTTAGGAAACTGTGTTTACATTATTCAAACCAGAGAAAGCATTTAAAGACTGTACATTAAAGTGGCAGGTTTTCATGTCTAATAAGGAGAAGTTAAAAAGAGCAAGAGCTAAAGCTAATGCTTGAGCTAGTCAGACTAATAATATATGATGGGGAGGACTCATCGTCTAATAAGTTTTTTCAGCAAACATTCATAAAATGATACAAATGACGACATGAATACTAAGGCATTAATATTTGTCTTGACCCGAATGTTTGTCACAAGTGCAAGTGCTCTACAACTGAATCTGACTGATTTATCAAGCTAACTTTCAGCAGCTAAATCAAAAGAGTGAAGTTTAGCTCATGCTCACTTAAGCTATGTAATCTGTACGTTGGTCTGTTTTATTTCAGCTTTTTTAGAGATCATATTAAAATGTGTATTAGCAAATACAGTAACCCAGATATTGTTTAGCCTGTTAATAGTTTTGATACTGAGCTGTGAGTGTGCTGTTCTATGTAGTTTAATCCAAAACTTGCTTAGCTTCGGGAAAAAAAAATAAAAATGAAATTTTCTTAAGTAACGCCTTTTCATATCCCTCAGCCTAATAATCCAGACGTATATACTGCCATCGCAGTTCTCGCTGTAGGTCAGGTATGTTCAAAAGAGTTTTTCTCTCACTTGACAGAACAAGGAACGCTTAGAGAAGGTTGTGATGTGCTGAGAGGCATGCCATTTATTATTTTTTTAAACAGTCAGTTATACAGAGAAACACATGGACTACAGTTAAATACTGTAGTCTATGGCAAGTGGACCTGATAAAATGGTTGAGTGTGTTATACCTAATAAAGTGGCCAGTGAGTATATGTATCATTGCTGTTGTATCAAAACCATATATCTGTACACTGTGTGAACAGTATATATTAATATGTAATACGTTTTTCTCCTGTAAAGTTATAATTTTGGAGATCAGATTTTATGTCGTGTCACCAACATTGTGTATATTTAAAGCACTGGTAAAATTGTGAAATTAGCATATTTGCACACCACTGTCTTGAATTAGATCACACTGATTGTGTTAGCAGAATATGGTCTTATTATTTATCCTGAAACATTCCTCAGCAGACTCCCAACTCTGACATGATTGTGTCATTTCAGGAACCTACCCTTTCGTAACCTCGTCCAACTGCACCGTGGGTGGCGTGTGCACGGGTCTGGGCATGCCACCTCAGAATGTGGGAGAGGTTTATGGGGTTGTCAAAGCCTATACCACCCGTGTGGGCATCGGTGCCTTCCCCTCTGAACAGAGCAATGTAAGGATCTCCTTTTGTGTGTCTCAGTTTAGCAGCTTGTGTTACAGTAAGTATTGTGTGCTTCAGTTACTTGTATAAGGGTGCCTACTGGGCCCTCGTTGCCAGTATTGTGAGTGTCTGTCACTGTGGTTTGTCTTAAGTTCCTGTCTAGCTGTCTGTGCTACACGCCAACAGTGGCACAGACATGGTATCGAATGAATGAGCCTGTTGGGTGGGTGTGTGCGTGTGCATGTGTACGTGTTTAGTCAGCTACCCATCTGTTATTGTGTGCCTTTACTCATCTTAAGCTCTATATTGGATGGGGCCAGCCCCTATGTTTTCAGGAGAGCAAGCTCTTCGGCATTACATAACACAGCTTATAGTTGTTCTTACGTCATTACATTCCTACAGTGCACGTACAAGCCTTTTTTTTTCCATCCACTTTTTAATTGTTCACCAACTTTCTCTACAGTATGATACAAGTAATGGGGAAATGGTAACTTTCTTTAATGCACCTCATTGAATATTAATACCAAATCAGTAGTAAAGTTAATGTGAATGTTCTCGTATTTAAGCAGCTGTTTCAATTCTTATAACAGTTTAATACTATCTTCTAAGGAAATTGGAGAGCTGCTTCAGACGAGAGGAAAGGAGGTGGGTGTGACCACCGGCCGCAAGAGGAGATGCGGTTGGCTGGATCTGGTGCTCGTCAAGTATGCCCACATGATTAATGGCTTTACAGCGTGAGTCCCCATCTCACTGCCTTTACAGATATAGCTAGACATGTTTTTCTAATTTTGGTCAGCTGTCTTTTTATTGAATTGATTGAATTTTTACCGCATATAAACTAGATATTGCATACTGAGCATTTTTTCATGTAGAAATGTACCAGATCTTCACAATTGTAGATTTATCATTAGTTGTATTGTTATGAAAATGTTACCTAGTCAAATTGTCTCTTGTTACAGTGCAATATGAATTATGCCTATTTATTCTCTTCAGCTTAGCTTTAACCAAATTAGACATCTTGGACGTCCTCCGTGAGATCAAAGTTGGTGTGGCGTACAAGGTGGACAATGAATGCATACCGCATTTCCCAGGTGAGCAGGTTTTTAATATTCAAAACCCCTTGAATGCCCTCAAATTATCCCATGAAGCACATACAATATTTTAAATGAAGTCAAGTTTGTGGCTTTTGGTGTGTCTGGCTTTGGGGAAAAACATAGAGACCTTAAAGAGACTTTATTTCAGCGAATCAGGAGGTGTTACAGAGGGTTGAGGTCCAGTATGAGACTTTGCCTGGCTGGAACAGTGACACCTCAACTGCTAGGACCTTCGAGGAGCTTCCAGAAAATGCACAGAAATACGTTCACTTCATTGAGGAGCATTTAGGGGTGCCTGGTAAGAGTCTCAGCTTAATCTAATTTCAACTGTCAAAACTCAAATTTGAGAGTTTACCAGCCTGAGAAAAAATGTTTGATTTGAAGGTAACTAACCTAAACTATTATCAGCATTATTTATAATACCAATAATAAGAATTGGAAATAGAAAATAACAGTAATACTAATCATTGCACATGGCAACCCAGTACAAAAGTGAATGTACTTAATTTATATGCCCTTGTTATGAACAAATACTGCACCTATTCCATTTAAAGACATATTACACTGTTTGCTTTACACTTCTGACACTGCCCAAAAAAATAAAAAGCTAGTGCAGAAGCATCTCACCACTCCAGTAAAACAAGGTTTAAATATGTTGTTTTAGGAAATGAGTCATACTGTACAATCACATCAGTTTACTGTCAAAACAAAGACGTTTTGTTTATTTTTTTTCTTTCCCGTCCTTATAATTTTAACACTATACAGTTTGGTGAGTAGAGGGAGCCGTGCACTTACTGCTCGACCTCAAACTCCAATACAAGCACAGCCATTGGCTCACCTGTTAATGATATGAGGTGCTGGTAGGCTGGCACTTGATTTCATGCACTGATGCTTCAGCTCTATCTTGTTTCCGTATCATACGAGAGCTTCATTAATCAGATGCAAAATAGCCGCTTAGTAATCATGTCCTCCTCTTTTCCAGTGAAATGGATTGGCGTCGGCAAGTCGCGGGAGTCTATGATTCAGCTGTTTTAAAGAAAACAGCCAGGCTGTGTATGGCCCGCACTGGGTGAGCCCCTCTTTTTCTGCACAGTGCACGAGGCTTATCGAGGGGCCTGCTGATTCAGGGCCAGAGAATGGTCCCTGCTTCTCACCTCTCCACTCCCTGCAGATTCCTGCTGGCAGAAAAAAAACAGGTTCTTTCTCCTTCATGATATGATCCTCTAGTCAAGAACTATTTCTAACCCTTTTCTTTGGAGGTCTGCATAGGGCACCATAGTGGAACGTCCTTTGGTCATTAGGAAAGAGGCTCTTCAGTCTCTCACTAGCACCCAGGGGTCATTTCCATTCCTCTTTATGGATGTACTTTGTGTTTTGTCTTTGATGCAGCAATTACAGTCTGCTTTTAATGAGCTTTTAGAGCATCATCGAGCTCAAAACCTCCATCTTTATGTGCCATGATCTTTAATCTGGTTAAACTTCATTAATTGAAGTTTTTAGAATTTCTTGCCATTGTGCAGTGTGCACACAGAGTGATTGACAGAAAAATTAAATTTGTGCCATTTTTCCTTCACCCCAAACATACTTAATCAGCCGAAACATGTTTGATGCCTCAAGTTTGTTTCTTTTTGATCTGGAGTTACTAAGTTAAAGTAATGGACGTCTGTGTCACCCAGATTTTTTATAGGTGACATATAAAATTATCTCAGGAAGCAAAATCCAGACACCAAACATGTCTTGGCTGATTTATTACATTTGGGGTAAGGGGAGGATTGTGTAAATTTAGATTTTTCAGTGAATGAGTCCTCTAATATAAACCCTCACCCTGAATGTAGATTTTAACTTTTTCCCTATTTTCATCAAAGTTATGTTCAAGGTTAGAATTTTCTCATGCAGAACTAAACTACTGTCTTTATCCAGGCCAGTGCATTTGCCTATTTCTAGATTAAACGTCTCAAGAACATTTATGTCTAGATTCAATTCCTCAAGGAAAGGACAACAACCTTTTTTATTTTTAACAGGGGGTGAAAACTATCTGGTTTAACTATCTGGTTAAAACTAACCAGATGTGTATTTCTGTGCCACGTTAGTCAACCTGATTTAAAGTTTACAGTTACAGTTATAGTTCATATAATGTTAAACTATTGGAACGTAATTCGTATGTGTTTAATATTAACTTTTTCATGATTCCTAATTAATTTCCAATGTCAGTTATACATTGTATTGTTGATATGGTTGTCCTCGTTCACCTAATGTTGAATGACCATAGATTTAATTTGTTCCCACTGAAAATCTTAAATATATTATAATTTTTCACATCATAACTAATAATTTCCATGGTAAATTTCTATATATGAATGTCCATTTGGTCAGCCTGGTCAGTGTGAGTGTGCAATTAGTTCATACATGTAACCTGAGAATTTAATTATTTTATTTATTTTCCATTTTATCAAGTATACATTTACTATAAATATGGCTAATATTGATGAGCCCTGTCTCCTGACCATGAAAGTGTATTAACTTTCCTATGTTCTACATATGTCTAGATATGTAGTGTTGCACATCTACTACAAAGACAGGTTTTGGCAGTTAGTTATCTGTTGCCAGGCTAGTTACAAGATCTCATCTGGCTCAGCGAGACTGCTGTCAGGCCAACTTGAATGTATATTCAACATTGAGATCAATTACATATGACTCAGTTTAGTTGCTTTAGTTTTAGTCTCAGGATTCTCTGGCGATCATAACGGTGTGTATTTTTTATTTCTGATTGTTGGATGGTTTGACTTCTCTGCTCTTTCTGAATGTTATGGGGATTTTAGAGTATATTTAACAAATGTCATTGTTCTCCACACTGCAAACTGTACACTGTAAACTGTATAACTTTTGCCGCAATGTAGCTGGGCTGTGATTTAGAGTGCTACTCGGTCAGCATATTGAGAATGAAGTTTTGCATTTTATATTTAACCACTCTGCTGTTTGTTAGACAAGGTCACTACGATGTACATTTATATTCTTAAAAAAGAATATATTGGTTATTGAAAGTTTTGAGCATCGACAGTTGGAAATGTTTCTGAATAAAGCCTGTCTGGTAAATACTGTAATTGAAATTGTATGAACATTTAGGCACCAGCATGTACAGTGTGTCCAGGGTAAGAATCTTGGGTAACTCTTCCTATGAATCCTTAAGATGTATAATATAAATGCATTTTTTAAATCCATAGTATGTGTAACGTAAATGTATTTTTAAATCTTATATATATATATATATATATATATATATATTGCATGTATGCGCATACATGCAATATAAATACATTTTTAGTATTTTACATGCCATAATGCCTTATAATGTGGCTTAGGCCAATTCGATTTCTTATAAATATAGCAATATGCATGACCATAAATAAAAACATGAAACTTTTTGAGAGAAAATGTAGAGATGTGTAATATACAGTCTTATACAAAAGTTTTAGCGCCCCGGTCAAATTACAAAGTGAAAATAAGTTAACATGTCTTCTACAGAGAACACATGCATATTGCAATATACAATTACTGTTTATTTGCTGAATTTAACATAACAAAAGCATCAGATGTGCCCTGTGCAAAAGTTAAGCCACATTTGAAATTTTATCTGAAGTTCTATTTTTTTCCAACATATTAAACTCAGCCAATAAATAGAAATTGTGCATTAAAATTAGCAGAAAATGTCATACTCTCTGTAGAGGATGTGTTATTTTCGTTTATAAAGTAAACAAAATGTGACTGGACCTGGGGTCTTCAAACTTTTGCACAGGACTGTTTATTGCAAATGCTTTTTGTATTATGTATACAGGGTTATAGGAAGTGTTACTGAATTGTGGGGGATCTGTTTTCCTGTGATTAGCAGCTGTTTCCCTGTAAATGTGTTGAACTGTATTTGGACCACTGGCACTGAGTTTATACCATTTCTGCTGCTCGTATCAGTGATAAGATCATAAATAAAGCAGGCAGCACATTGTACATTATCCCTTTAATCAAACTGTCATTAAAACACAAGTATTCTGGTACTTGCATTACAAATGTAGGAAGAATAGATCCTATTGTAGCTCACTATCTTCCTCTCTCACTCTTTCTCTCTCTCTCTCTCTCATATATACACACTCTACACTGCCCACACAGATGAAGAAAGTGTGCCTTCTTACTACAGACTTTTGATTCATAATGCAACATGAGAGTCAGACCCAGGTTGATTTTATGTATGTATGTTTGTGAACAGTGAGATGTGCTTCTTTGAACATTCAACATTTAGAGAAGTTTTATGAATTAAAATACTCTCGCATATTTATATACATAATGACACTTGGGGCTGATTTTAAGTCCTTTTAGAACCTTTTGCTGCTGTAATGTTCATGATTGAATGATTTTCCCTTTACACATCTTTAGCATTAGCAGTGTCAGCACACAGACCAATAGAGGTGCAACTGAATTCAGTGTTGATCTACATGTAAGATCAGTAATTTTAACAGACATCACCGGAGCATTAATGTCACTTAACCTCTGTTGCTAAAAGTATGTGTATTTAACATATCTCAAGCCTTGTTTGTTAATTTTGCATTATAATATGAACAGCTAGGCTTCAATTTCAAGTCAAAACAGCCATTAAGTACTGAAACACTGAAACAAACAGGAGACATATTTAACGGAAAATTACACCAAAGCCTTCCACAGTGAGTATAATATCAAGTGACCAGTGTTTAATGTCCACTCCTTACTTTTGCACACCCACTGCCACTTCAGCTCTTCCATTCAACCAGTTACAGCTGAGTCCTCCCAACAAATGCTGCTCCCAAAGCTCTCAGTGACATCATGCTCCCCTTCAAACAGACACTAACGTTCACACAAGTAACTCTTCAAACAAACCTTAGCTGCTTCACACATTTCTTTCTCATGTGCATCTAAGATAGGCTGGTGTCTGAGACCTGATAATAAACTTGCATAATGAAAAGGAAAAATTGAACAAAGAAGCTGCAGAACAATGGACTGTCCATCCCAGAGTCCAGACCTCAGCGTCACTGAATATGTGTGAGATTACTTGGATCATAATCAGAAAATGCAACCAGCTTCTGAGACTGATCCTTGGAGGTGTTAAAAAATATCCCTGCAGATTTCTTTGAAAATCTGAAAGCAAGTTCAAATTTCAAGTTCAGGTTTTATGCTGAATTTTCAAGTTTATTTGTCATTTGCCCAACATGTCAGGACATTCATGCATTGAAATGCTTGTGGTGAGGCTCAGGTAATCACTCTATAGCAGGGCAGCATTATATACATACGAAAAACAGTGCAAAAAGACTAAATAACTGAAATATCATAATACAATAAAGTCTCCTGAATGAATGGGAGCAGTAATAAAGGCAAATAATAAAAAAAATGATTATATTTAGTTGTTGGACTTGTGTTATTTTCTATTAAGTAAACACTGTAAAAAAAAGTAAAAAGTCCAGCACAAGGGTGCCAGACAAACCTCGTTAATTAAAAGTAAGTGTTTTCTTAATCATGGTAAAAATCTGTAAAATTACAGTCATTTAATTTCTTAGAAGAAATCGCAATTTACTGTAATCCATCATTTTCACTAGTTCAACTGGTTACTCTGTTATGCAGTAATTTACCATAATAATAACAACAGCAACAACCATTACAATAAATACCTCTGCCTCTGTGAAAAAACAGGTATTAAAAATGAAAACATTTAACCTTTACAGTACTTTGACAGTATTTATTTTTTCTATTTTTCTTACAGTGTATGTCTCCTGCTTTTTTCCTCATGCTGAAAAAAATACCTTGTACTTAATGACCATTTTGTCTGGAAATTAAATAAATTAAAGAATTAAAGAATTCACAAAAATAATTTATTCTCCAACACTCTGTTTTTATTAACTGAAAGCATCTAATACAGTCATATCCTTTGTTCAGATCATTTGAACAGTACACAGATGAGAGTACAGTCTAACATTAACCACTAACCACTTCGCTGAGCTTTAAAATGTTTAGAATGAATCACTTTTTTTGCGCAGATGACTGCATGTTTGCACAAAAATACAGTGACCTCTGTTTTTTGAACTCTGTATTGTTTTGCTGCTGTTGGATCTTCAGTGTCTGTATATACTGAATGCAGAGCCATATTCTCTCCGTCTTCTTGTCTCTCTGTAGTGGTGTTTATATACGCTTGGCTCTTGGAGATGAGGTGTGCATGATTTCCTGCTGTGATTTATACAGCACAGATCTCACTTCAAAACATGAATATCGCCAACCAAATGTAGACAATTAACAAAATAAAACCACAGTCAATAAATACATACTTGATAAACAGCTTGTCTTTGTATGTGTCAATATAAAGAAGCTTGATGTGATACAGAACTTGACATCTGTGATGTGAAAGCTAAGCATAACGACAATTCCTGGCTCTGATGTTAAACTGGGACTGATCGCTCTTCTGCTTTATCTAGAGCCCATGTGTCAAACACAAGGCCCGCGGGCCAGATCAGGCCTGCGACACAGTCCTAATCGGCCCACAAAAATATTTTAATTTTCTATTATTATCAGCTTGTTTCACAGTGCACTGCACTACAGTCCCCAGCATGCACTACAACGTAATGTGTGCTCTGACTCTCCCACCCCAACAACAATCTATGGGACAGCAGTTACACCTCAATTCTACATAATTCAACACAGTTCCACACCAGTCACGTCAACAGTGCAGCCAATATAAGCACTTAATGTTAGCTTAGCAGCTCAGAAATTGAGCCCAAGTGGGCTGGAGGTTGTGACCGGAAGGTTGCAGGTTCGATACCTTGAGCTGAGAGTACGTGACTGAAGTGCCTTTAAGCAAGGCACCTAACCCCCAAGTGCTCCCTGGGCACTGCGGATAGGGCTGCCCACTGCTCCGGGCAAGTGTGCTCACTAGTGTGTATGTGGTGTTTCACTGCACGGATGGGTTAAATGCGGAGGTGTAATTTCCCCATTGTGGGACTAATAAGGGATCACTTAACAATCAGAGTAGATGAAACTCTAAAAAGTGAGCCATTCGAGAAAAGTGGCACTTTCTCAGTGTCTCTCTACCGTTTTTACATTAGATTCATGCTCAGATGTCTCGTCTTTTGCTGTTAGAATGAATAAACAAATCAAATTTTGTCATTTGAGTTTTGTTTTCAAAACAGACGGCAAGGTCTAACGTCAATGTAACACTGTTCTGCCCCCTTACCCAGTTCTGCAAACTCTAGACTTGCTTCATGAGCACCAGAATGAAGTCTAGAGCATCCAGAACATGTTTTATAGGTATCAAGTTACAAACCAGTCTCATTTTGTATGCAGACAAACCAAACCGCCAGATTTCATTGGAGAGGAACTTCCAAAATCCCTCACAATCCCAACACCAGGAGCAGCAAGAGTGAGGCCTGGGGTTCCCAACGTAGCTCAGTGCTGAGATCAACTTATCTATTAGTGAGAGTGTTCAGTCTGATAATCACCACTAAAGAATCATTGTACTAAGATGCTGATATGTTCCCTATCTAAAGGTACTGAAGACGTCATTTGAGATGTAAGCAGGTTATGGCAGGGCTGCCACTTGGACAGGCCACAAAAGAGAACAACGCCTGGACTGCTAAACACGGGAAAGAAACATAGTAATATAAAATGGTGCCATGAGTCACTCCTGGAAAGCTAAAGGATTCCTCAACCCAAAGTGTCTGTTGCCAGCTGTTAACCATGGTGGTAGCTCCATAAAGGTATGAAAAGCCATTCTGTGGGAGTCATTAGGTCAGATGGATGCTCTGCACAGACAGCGAAGAAATATGTGGCCATTTCAAAGGACCAGGTGCAGCCAATTGTGCAAACACTTGCTGATGATCTTAATGATGTTCCCATATTCCAAGATGGTAATGTTCCCATACACAGTAAAGAGAACTCATGAAGATCAGGATAAAGTCCAAAAGCTTCCTCAAGCACCAGATCTAAGCATTATTGCACCTTCATAGATGGTTCTACTTCCTTCATTCCTCAAAGAACTAGAGCCTTGAAAAATGGTAAATATCTTATTATACACAGTTCGAGACTTTTATACCTGCTG